TTAGAAACAAAAAATTATATCTAAATAATAAAATTTGTAAGCTAATTTATTTAAATAAATTTATTAGTATAAATATAAAACATAAAATCAAGAAAATAAACAAAATGATTAAAAGGATTGAAAAGGAAAGAAGCATTTCTACATATTTTATTTCGTTTGAAAATATTTACATAAGGACTAGTTAGTAGTTACTTAAATATAGTACGTACTAAATTTGGTGTTAGGTATTTACTCCCTCCGTTCAATAATACTTGTTTATTATACTAAAAATAGATGTCCAACAATACTTGTTCACTTTATGAAATCCATGGATAATTTTATACTTAGTTCATAATTTATCCCTATCATTAATTATAGTCATTTCCCTATTATATTTTTTAAGACATTGTATTTATTATATTCAAAATATGATATAGTAAAATTGTCTTTCTATTTATAGTTTCTTAAGGGATGTGTCAAGTTAATAATGGATAACTATTGTTGGAAGGGAGTATATCAATTCACTTTTATTGACATTTTGACTTGACACATTTATAAATAAAATAATTAATGATATATATTTTACCAGATTATTTCATATTAAATGATGTCTTAAAAATATTTTGGAAAATAAATATTTAATACTGAGGGTAAAATATGGTAAAAAAATAATTGTTTTTTCTTGACATGTCAAAAATGAGTAAAAATGAAAATTTATTTTAGAAATAAATGACAAGTAAAAGTGAAAGAACAGAGTAATTTCTAAAAGGGAAGTGCTAAATGGCCAGAATTATGTTGCAATAATTTGGTCAGAATTGTAAAAAGACTAATTTAACCTTGTTCCCTTTCAAAGTAAAATCAAGTATTTATTACTACTATTTTCTAAACTTTTAAAAATATGTGTGAACAATAATTATTATATTTAATGAGTTAGAATTATTACTCCCTATGTCCCTAATTACTTGTCCACTTTTGAATTGTCACATCTATTAAGAAAGCAATTATTGAAATATTGAGTTTACCATTTTACCCCTATTAATTATGAAGTTGATGGATTAAAAATTTAAGATTTTCAAGAAATTGTACCTTTTTCAAAGTAATTAATTGAGGGTATAATAGGTAAAATTATTTTGTCCTTTCTTGATTTGTCAAAATGGACAAGTAATTAGGGACAACTATAAAAGGAAAAGTGGACAAGTAATTAGGGACAGAGGGAATATTAATTTTATGAAGGAAATTATTCAACGGACTTTATAATGTGGGACCCATTACAATTTAACTTCACCTTCTTTTGGTTCTTCCTAATTCACTCTTTCTTTGTTCCTTTTTCTTCATCTTTTTCGTCATCCTTTCTCTTTTCTTTTCCATTACATATAAAATTAAATTATACAAATTATAATTCCATAAGATATTTTTAGATACAATTTATCAATGATTTTCTAGTTTTGAACTTGTAAAATAAGTTAACATTTATTTATTTCTCTTATATACAAATCATCCAATTTTAAAATCTAGCACACAAAAAAAAATCGTTAATATCTAACTTCATAACACAAAATTTGTTGGGGATAATATTGCATTTGTTTTCTTTATTTTAATTTCATTATAGTATATTTAATACACTATCATCAATATTAAAAAATAAGATGATTTGGTTATTTTTATTCTTCACTAATATACTGATTTGAATATTATATTTCATAATCATTCTTTTAAAAAATAAATAAAATATTTTTTTATGATAAACTTTTAATGATTATTCTTTATAGATAATAACAAATCTTTTTTTAATAAAGTTTGTACTTTTATGTGTTAAATATAGAAAGAAAAGTTTCGTGTGATAAATTTAATAGTTAGATGAATTTTATGTATTAAAAAATAAGAAAATAGTTTTTCGTGTTATATTTTTTTTTTTTGATATTTTATAGTGAAAATATGACATAATGCTATAAATAAGTTAATTACATTCAAGGTAATTTTTAGAAACTTCCTTTAATGTGATACTTCTCACAAAATTCAGTAATATATTTGATACTTCTCACATGTGATTTTTTTAAAAACCTTTTTATTTCAATGATTAATTTTTAGTCTTAAACATCTTATTTGTGGATTTATTTGTTTATCATTATCTGAATATTTTGTTTAGTTAATAAAAATAAAATATTTTTGTGTATGTTTTTTTGTGTATATGTATAGTTCATTTGATTATTTTTTTTAAAAATATTGTTCAGTTGATAAAAAAAATTTGTACGCTTTAGTAAAAAAGCATTTTTGAATTTTACCTTAAAAAAATGTTCATAAGGTACCAATGCATACCTTTGAAAAATTATTTTTTCGCTTAAAATAAATCTCTTTATTGAAGAAGACAATTAAATTTCTCATTAATAATAACTACAAATGACTATCTTGTCTACTTAAGATTATACTTAATTATTTTGTAATACAAATTTAGTAAAATATAGTAATTAAGCGTAGATTAAAAAAATTAGTTGAATTTTTCATTAAATATAAACAACTAAATAGATTAGTCTATAAATATAATGGATGTTTTTCAAGAGAAAAAATAATGTTATTTTGGAAATTAGATGTTTCTAAAAAATAATTGATGATAAGACATTTATAACTATGCCATGAATAACACATTAATTATCGCCAAAAATTATCCAAAAATAAACTAATTTATAGTGTAAACATGTCCTTTTACAATATTGGCCAAATTATGGCCAAAAGGATTTTCCCATTAGGATATACATTTTTTAAAAATTATTTTCATTTAATATAGAATTTTCTACGGAAGGAGACAATTAAAATACATGTTAATAATATACATAAAAATATGTTTTTAAAATATTAATTTTTAAAAATATTTCAATAACGATAATCAAAACTCAAAATACTTTAGAATTGATAAAAATCAACACATTATAGAACTATGTAATTTAATTTTTTAAAACATAATAAATAAATATGTAGTTTAATTTTTTAAAACATAATAATTAACAAATATCAAAACTACAACATTAATGTATAACTATCTTGAGTTGTTGTGAAATAGGATCGACACTTATGAACCATATGATTTTTAGTATTTCTTTATTGTGCCGATATCTATTGATTCTAAAGTATTTTGAATTTTGACTATTATTATTGAACTATTTTACATTACATTTTAAAAATTATTTAAAATTGAATTTAAATAATTATTTAAATAGGTAATTTAAATTTATTCATATAATAAATACAATAAAATTACTTAATTTTAAAAATTCTTAATCAGTTTTTAAAAAAATATTATTTTGAGAGTAAAAAAAAAAAATTGTGACTACAACTATGTATACTTAATATTTTAACATATCATTTAATAACAACCATTTTTTTTTATTAAAACAACAAATAATACTAATAAAGAAAAATAATATGTGTGATGAAACTTTGATCTAGTTCATGTTTAACAAATTTGTGTTGTCATTATCATCAGAAAACTATGAAGATGTTTTTCTTTTATTTATTTTTATTTATAAAAGTTTATTTTGAAATCATAAAGAACTTTCTATATCCTTTCCTAGTTATTATAATTTTTCAATGAAGAATCATCAACATTTTTTTCCAAAAAATATTTGTATACCTCTAGTACTAAAATAAATAAATAAATATTAATTTTAATTGAGTGTTTATTTGTGTATGATGTGATTCATATACGTTCGAGGATATGAAAGCAATCACATAGTGGAGGAAACATGATGGTAATTTTCAGTTTTTCTTTCATATTTTTGCTTCACATACATTCTAAGTATAATCGGATAAAATATATTTTTATCATTTAACTTTTTTCTAGAAAATCCATGCGTAACAACAACCCCTTTAAATAAATATGAGTAATTGTTTTGCCAACTTGGTGAATTTCAGATTTTTAATTTTGACTATTATAGATTCAAATTTTTAATATTTAAATGTAGATATAATTTATCTTTTCACGATTAGAAATTATAAACTAAAATAGATAGCCTACACTTTACTCCTCTTTTGTACTTTTTAATTTTTTTTAATCATTAAAAAATAAGAAATGAAAAATAAATAAACAAAAAAGAATAAGTAGAAAGGCGGAAATTTAGAAATTGAAAAAATTATAGTATTTTTTTTACTACTACTGCCATATTTTTCTTATTTTTTTGTTAGATCTTGAAATTTTCAAGTAAGAAGAGTGGGTGAGACTTAAGTTTTCTTTGGTTAACTTTGTGGTTTCTTTCTCATGTTTAATTATGAAATCATCAATAATTAATTTCATTAATCATTTTCAATATATTGGAAACATAATTGAAGAATATATTCAATATTTAAGTTAAAGGGCAAAAATGTCCAAAAATAAACTAGTTTATAGTGTGAACATGTCCTTTTACCATTCTAGCTAAATTATGGCAAAAATTTTATGGCCAAAAGGATTTTTCCTATCTAAAAATATTTTGTCAAAATCTGACATCTCAAATTTGTAATTAATCAATCACGAAAAATCGTGTTATAACAGATTTCTCAAGCAAGTCGGGTAAAAAATAGAGAAACTATTTTAATTTTTGTTTTACGAGCTATTTATTTTTACCTTAAGTCCTTGAGTAGAGTTGGCACAAAAAATGACTTTGCGTTACGATCATTGTAACAAAATCACTAAATTTACCGAACTCACAATTTTAATGATAAATTAGTTTCCGTTATTATATTATATATAGTAACATATTCAATGTTTTCTATCGAGACCCAAAATGTTTGGGAGAAACAAACAAAAACTTTACATGCACGGTTGATCCAAAAGTATATATTATAAATATGATTTTTATTAGATTTGTCAAATAAGCGCATTTGAGCTGAGTAAGACATATTAGTTTTGTACTAATCACCTAGATATCATCAAAGAACTGATAATTTACATATATATTATATTATATGGAATGATATTGAATGAATACACTTTTACACTAGTAAATACTAGTACTACAAGTAAGTAAAACAAATTTCATAAAATACTACCCTATGCCTAATATTCCCTCCAAAATTGGAAATTTCATTGGGAACATAGCTAGCTAGGAAATTTATAGTGACAATATATATTACTTAAACAACTTAATTCTTAAGATTTTTTTTATGATCGCATTACTTCGAAGCTTTCTTGATAAGTGGTGATCTTGATTCGTGAAATCTTCTTTCATTTACCAATAATATTGCAAACCTATCACAAAATCAAAGATTTTCATGAGTTAACTAATGACATAACAATGTATATGCAAATATTCTAACAATTTAGTCAATATAATAGTAAAGACTAGTTAAGATGCATTGATAATACAAAAATATTTTAGATCAATTATATTAATATAGACATGTTACTCATAAAAGAACAAAGCAGGACTTTTCAAACACCTTTTTGTGTCAAATAAGTGAACGTAATTTTGTTTTAAAATGTTTGACATACTTCCTACTCTTTTTTCAAAGAGTCAAAGTAATACTAACTCCCTATCAAATGGTTTGTCGTGATTTTTAAAAATAGTTATGTCAAATTATTTATTATTTTAAAATTTTGATATAATATTATCTACTATTTTTTTATTTCATTCTTAGCAATAATATATGTTATGAAAGACGAGAGGGAGTTACTCGGATGGTAAGTACCCCTCACTTCCAATCCGAAGGTTGTGAGTTCGAGTCACCAAGGGAGCCAAAGGGGTAAAAGCTTCCCAGGGAGGGTTTAAAAAAAATGTTATGAAAGACTATAATCACATCAATAGAATAAATATTTAATGATGAGAGATTGTATATTATGATAGAAATAATGGTAAAGTAATTATCTCCAAACACAATAGATAATTTGGGACAAAGGGAGTATCAAATTAAAATTATGATGAGATACCTCTTAAGGGCTTCCTCATTAGTGCCTCCTTTAGGAATTGGTTCTGTCAAACCTGTTTCCAAATTTACCCTAAAAAAAGTTAAAAAATGGTCAGTACATATAAGTTAAATTCTTATTTTTTAATAAAGTGTTTTAGTACGTACCGGATTATTAGCAGCAATGTCACCATCAATGAGATGATGTTCTCTAACATTGCCTTTGCCATCTTCAACTTTGAAATAATGAGCACTAAGATAAGTTAGAGGTGCTGATGTACTAATGCAAACATCCGATAATTTTGCATCACAACATGTTGATCGTTTCGTCTGCAACAAAAAAATCAACATTCAGTACAATAACAACATATTCAGTATAAAAAGGTACGTAAAATATAGTTTGAATGGGAAATATGCATGTACCTCATAAGTAGAGAAAATGGTTGGTGTATAATAGATGTCGAACCCTCTTCCACTAGTTCGTGTGTTTACTTTTCAGATTTTGAACCCCCTTATTAAAAATCCTGGCTCCGCCATTGCAGCATCACAAGACCACCGGTGCTAGTTCCAGCAATAACATCAAAGTAATCTGCAAGTCTTGCATCTTTTCCATCCAACTCCTATAAATTTTATTTGACATGCATGCAAACATTAAATGTCATAAAAAGGATCACGCGCATATATGCATGCACAATAGTTTTATCAAACACAATGTGGGCTATAAATTTTTTAGATTTCTGTTGGGACTTGGGACACATCAAGCCCTAAAATGGGCTGAGCCCGTCGTCATTCACCTCCAAAGGCATTGGATTAGAAGGGCTGATTTACAAGAAGCACTGGTTTAAAACTTTTGACCCCGCTCGCCCCATGAACAAAACTTCACGTTTAATAAGTTTTGCTTCACCAACAACACTTTTGACCTTGAAGGTTTGTCCATGGGAGGGGTACATTTTTAAGGTCATTCCATATAATTTCCCGGTATTAGAAGTTTGAAGAAATTTTAGTGCTTTTGATGCGGAGCTAAGGGTCGAGTTCAAACTCCATAATTGATTTTTATGTATATATAATAGATATTGAACTCTCTTGACTTCTTATTATATTTACTTTTTCATATTTTGAACCTTTTAGTAAAATATTTGACTGGTATATATTATTATCTTATATAGTGAAGAGAAACGGATCTCCTGGGTGACAATTTTGTAATTAGAAAATTTCAATTAAAAAAATTTTAAGTAACAAAATTATGGCAAACATGTAGCAAGACTGAATATCAAGAAGTGAAAATTTAACACAATTCGTTTTAATTAATTTTGATTCAAATTTTGTATTTATTTAAATGATATATTTAATATGTATGAAATATAATTTAAAGGCTCGATAACTTCAAGAGGCTATAATCTAGAACTCGTAAATGTTAAATCTTGGATCAACAGAATGGACCACATCTATCTAAAACTATGGAGCACTTTGTTTGATTTGATTTCTACCTTGTGAGATTATTTCAAAGTTAATTAATATTTCTTATCGTGAAAGAAATGAGTTAAACTAAGAGAAATGGTCAAATTCAAAAATGAAAAATTATTGACTATGTATGAATCACTTCATTTAAATTTATTTATCTCATTTTATTTTTTTTCTTGTTCATTCTATTTCAAAAAAAATGCTTTTTTTTGACAATTTTTTAATTTTAACTTTTCACAATTAGTTATATTTAAAATTACAAGATTAAAGGTCATTTTAATAAATTTTACTTTTTTCAATTTAAAATCACAAGATCAATCACAAATCTTCTTTAGTTTCTTAAATTCCGTATCTATAATTAAAATTAGACAAACAAATTGAAATAGAAAAGATATAAATTTAAGACTCGATAACTTTGAATGATTAAAACTCGTAAACTTTAAATTTTGAATCCATCCTAACGAAGTGGACCACATTCACCTATCTATATGGAGCACTTTGTTAGATTTAATTTCAGCCTTGTAATATTATTTGAGAGTTAATTAATACTTTTCTTATCGTGAAAGAAATAGTTATAGTTACATTGAGAGAAATGATCAAAAAAAAAATTAAAAAATATTTCTTCTTGCATACAACAAGGGAACTAGTCTATGGTACTTCTATCATTGGAGATGAATTTTTCAAAGATTATTTAATTAGTTAAAGGTGAAGCTTGGCATAATTATACTGTTCAAAGTAGAAAAAAATTGGTCGTTGATGTCATGCTGACACAGCATTGTTGCCTATGCTGATGTCAGCGGCCAGAAAAAATGTATAAAATATTTTTTTTGGGATCAAATGTAAATGAACATTTTAAGGTAAATACTTTGCTTTTTATCATCATTTTCATTTTAATTAGAGGTATCAAATGAGCAGATTAGATTAAATTATCTGAGTAGATAAAAATATATTATGTTAATAAATAGGTAGATTATTGATCCGCTCAAAAATTACTTGTGCTGAAATGGGCTAAAATGTGCATCATTATCCAATTCGTACTAAATTTTAATTGTTTTATTTATTCTTTTATAAAAAAAATTAGCATCTTCTAAAAAATATTATTTTATTATAATATTATATAATATATCAACTATATATATATATATATATATA